AATTTTTGGTATAGTAGTTGTGACTTATTCACACTATATACATTTGGCTTCCGCAACATCTTCCTCCTCCGCAAAAGCAACACATGGGTAAACTCATGAAGGTTATGTTATTATTATTATCTGATTTTGCTTGAAAGACGACCAAATTCCATGGTCCAAGTCCGACGATATAGCTAGGTAGCAGTTATTAGCGTCTTGAAAGCCAACCAAATTCAATGGTTCAACAAATGATAAGGCCAGGTAGCAGTTATCAACATCTTGAATTGATGGCAGTGAAATGGATTTGTAAGATAGCCAGCTATTTCTCTCATGTATATCTCAAAAACCACATTAATAATATTATACTTAGACCTTTGACATTAAGCAGCTTACATAAATACAAGAGCTCCATCCTATTACTTAACTGAAGGAGGTTTTAGCCCCCTTAAATTCAAACTATCAAAAAAGATAAAATGAATTGAAGGAGAGTCAATATAAATTGAAGTGGTACCTTCTGAATGACCTTTAACTTGATTGGAATGCTGACTTTCACGATTAATTGCAACAACTGGTTCTATAGAAGGTGCTGCTGTGTTTATGCAGTTGACAGTTCCAATGAGTGAATGAGTATTCCGGGGAGGACTTTGACAAGCATCTAATTTTCCTTCATTCACAGGAGACACAGTGGATTCGGTAGCAGTGCGCTGGCTGCCTATCTCACGTTTTATTGTGCCAACTATTCCTGAGTTTCGGGTATTCAAGGCTGGAACTAGGACAGGATCTGAGGCAGAGGAGTAGACACCAGATACCAATGCTAAAGTTGTGCTTGTCACAAGCTCATTAGGTCTTGATATGACAGTTTTACTTTGAAATCTGGTTCCAGGTGCAAAGGTGGGGGTGGGGGCAGGAGTGGGGCCAGGATCCAAGTTTGGATGATGGTTTATTAAATTAGGAGGTAGAGTTGAAACTTTTGCCAACTTGTTTACATTAACAAATGAAGCAACTCTACTGTAACTAGGATCATCTGCAGATACCTCAATAGCAGATTCCTTGCTAGGATGTGGATTAGTTTTATGTGCAACCGGCATGGAGGTCTTAGAACTTCTATCCTTCAAACTAATGACTCCATTTTCTTTATTAACGTGTCGTCTGCCACTGGCATCTGGTGACAATAAAGGAAAGGGGGTTAGCTAACCCTGCAAGCCATAAATCGAGAAAATACATCTCTGTCCACCAATAAGAAACACCCTTTCAAGTTCCAACAGATGCCACGCTATATAAGTGATAAGAGAACGTGCATATATCAAAATATTGCACATGAAGGCAGGACTACCACTACAATAGGAAAAGAAAAGGAACATGCTCTATCAACCTATCAAGCAGGATATAAGAACTATAGATGCAATTGGAACCATGAAAAAAGTTCTAGTTCTTCTCAATTTACAGACATATAATAATAATTGTAAACCAAATGTATATCCACGATCAATCATCCTTAAGGCAAACACCTTCATTTTCTTGTGTCTCTTCATTTTCTTGTGTCTTAACCTTGTGACTGAAGAATATGAGAAATTTTACTAACTTTTATCTTTTCAATAAACTTGACACCAGTTCTTCAAATGATAAGTAAAAGTGCAGACCCCAGCTATGACAGTTTAAAAAAGACAGAATACTTGTACAGCCAGCAGACGAATATTAAAGAGGAGAGGACAACTGATCTTTTTTTTGCTCATGAAAGTTTTCAATCATTCTTGAATTGTATGTTCAAAGGCTGAAAACATAATTCAACACACAACATCCTGGATGCTCAAGAAAAGCAGGAGAGTTAATCGATCAAGATCATGACCACATTAAATTAACTCCTATATACCATCAGTGATGTAATTTGCAGAAATTCTCTCACGACCATTCCTGGCCCCTCTCCGCTGCATGCCTGACATCCACCTGTAACCCTCAGAAGTTTGGTTGCTGGCTTTCTGTGATAAAGAGATGGTGAAACTATGAACTATCAAGCTAAGTGAAAATTTTATAATCCAAGTTGATGGAAATGCTTACTGCTTTCTTTCTGTCTCGTTTCCTTTTGACCTCATGGAAAGTATCTGCAGAATTAGGTAGTTTTTGCTTGAGCTTAAAGAAAAACAATAATTTAATAGGCTAAACAATTACTCCACATGAATGCAGATATTCGAAAAATTAGGCAAAAAAATTATATCAATAAATAAACAACTGCGGTTGTTTATATTGAGTTGGAAGTAAAAAGTGAATACAAACAATATTTCTAAAGAAAGAGATATAGGTTCCAGAATTTCCTACTTGATTAGCATGGTAACTCTACTTAAAGCACAGTACACTATAGAACATAGAAATGGAACATTCTGG